AAAAAAAAAAAAAATAAATTTAAAAAGTAATCCATTATGTTCCAATCCAAATTGAAATCTTGCTTCATCTAAAAAGGTTTCTCCTTAGTTTAAGATTAATATAATGTCAATTCATTCTGTATAGCTGTTTCAGTTTAGGAAATATAAAGTGCTTCCAAGGAAATGTTATCAAACAGAAAACTATTGTGGGGTTGTTGTTAGTGTTTTTTGTTTGTTTGTTTTGCACTATTAATGAAGTAGCTACAACAGGTTTTCTAACTGCAAAATTATGTAACCAGTTTCTCAATCATAGGTATTTAGAAGCAGATCCAGGTCTAGAACCCAAGTTTTCTGACTGTCAGTTCTTTTCAACTATATGTCCTTTGTAATATGCTCTTTCTCCTACATAAAGCTTCTAATCTTTTAATCTTGTGGACAGACTGTGTTGTGTAAGTAACAGTCACTGAAAACAAACTAAGATATGACTACAAAACAATGAACAGGTCTTGTGTGAACTGGTGACTTCATTTTACCTTTTTAATGGTCTTTTTCCCCCTTCTTTTCCATTTTCCCTATGTTGCTATTCCTCTATACTTTTGGTTTCCAGCCTTACCTGTATATTTAGAGTTACTTGGAAAGCTTGGGCTTTTTTGTTTTGTAAGGAAAGCTTGTTTTTTAAAGCTTTTTTTCTTAAACAAACGAAAAAACCCCAACTCATTGAAATATAATTCCATGGCTTTTAGTATGTTCACAGAGTCATGCAACCCTTATCACAGTCAATTTTAGAGCATTTTCATCACTCCAAAAAGAACCTTGTACCAATACCAGTAAGACTCCATTCCCCACCATTACACTAATCCCCACCCTAGCAATCAATTGTTTTTTGCCTCTATAGATAATTTGCTAATTCTAGACAGCTCATATCAATAAGATCATATACTATATGGTCTTTGTTTGTTGTTGTCGGGTTTTTTGTGTTTTTTTTTTTTTTTTTGAGGCAGAGTCTGACTCTGTCACCCAGGCTGGAGTGCACTGGCGCAGTCTCTGCTCACTGCAATTATCCTGGGTTCAAGCAATTATCCTGTCTCAGCCTCCCAAGTAGCTGGGACTACAGCCATGTACCACCACTCCCAGCTAAATTCTGTATTCTCAGTAAAGACAGGCTTTTGCCATGTTGGCCAGGCTGGTCTCAAACTCCTGACCTCAAGTGATTTGCCCACTTCAGCTTCCCAGACTGCTGGAATTATAGGCGCGAGCCACTGCGCCTGGGTAATATATGGTCTTTTCTAACAGGTTTCTTTCACTAAGGGTAATGTTTTCAAGGTTCATCCATGTTGTGATATGTATCAGTATTTCATTCTTTTTATTGCCAAGTAATATTCCATTGTGTGTATACACAACATTTTATTTAACCGTTCATCAGTTGATAGAAATTTTAGTTGTTTTCATTTTTTGGCTATTATAAATAAAGCTGCTGTGAATACTGTGTATACATTTTTATGTGGACATGCGTTTTCATTTTTCTTGGGCATATACCTAGGAAAGGAATTGCTGGATCATGTGATAACTCCATGTTTAATATTTTGAGGAATTGTCAAATTGTTTTCCAAGGATCTGCACCATTTTACATTCCCATAATAATGTATGAGTAC